AAATAAAAAGCTGAGGGAAATGACGATAGTTAGAATGGAGAGAGAAAAAGCAGCAGTTCCCCCTATGTTGTTCCGGCACAGTATGAGCTTGACATGATTAAATTTGCCCATTTACAATTCTACTGTGGATAAGAACATGTTAGTATCCCCCCCCTCCCCATTTGCGAATGGCCTAAAGACAACTTTAGTCAGTGGCACTGCCCCGGGGGTTGCATAAGACGACTGCGCCCAACGATAAGATTACAGTGAATAATCGTGAAATGAAAGCTAAGCTCGTTTTCATACCGCCTGGAGTAGGTTGTACTGTTAATCTATATCTCTATATCTGACACGCGACACAGGCCTTGAATGAAGGGATTACAGACACTCTGGAGGTCACATGCAAGCTGTTTTTATAACTGTTAAGATGAGACTGTGCCCACCATTTCGGAACTTCACGTTGACATTAAAGATGGTTCCAGTAGGGAACAGGACAGCGGGTGCCCACGTCCCTCGTGACTCATTGGAGCAGAGGAAGATAGGACTAACACTAACATTATTTCTTTTTAAAGACAGCAATCAAATCAACTAACAGAAGCATGTCTTCTTACTAACTATAAACATAAGCACCATCCCACACCATCACTTACCACCACCATCATCACCGTCATTTCTAAAGTCATCATTGCTCTCAGATCCTTCACAAACATCTATAATTATCTTAAACATCTATATGTAACAGTTTTATGTCATAACAATTATGTACGTGATACATTATTGGCCACTCTCATACGCACATTTTTCTACTAATCAGATTGCGTCAATATCATAGAAATGGCCAAGGGACAAAAAATAAATAAATAAATAAATAAAAATAACTATCGCCATGTCTATTGACATAGGAATGATACTTCAGGAAATGACAACGAAGTTAGATACCACAATGGGTTGGGTTTTTTGTTTTGTTGGAATTTCATTCAAGTCTCTTTCTCTTCACTCCTGAAGATCCCTTACAACGCTTGTTGGTACTTTTCTAGCACTGTCTTGTTTTAAATATGATTTAGTTTTACAGCACTTGCAATACGACTAAACAGAAGGATGCAAGTTCCGAAGATTCGAGTTGCTACAAGAGAGTAGTAAAATAGGAGAGCAGAAAGAAGGACGATAGCTGTTTGACAGGCAAGAATGAGCAGACCACCCCAGAGCACCCGCCCACCCACCCACTGGCACTGTCTCTAAGTCTGAATTCTAAGAAAAGAACATCAACACGATAACAATCAGGTGCTGGAGCGAGAAAGCAAAACAGAAACAACAC